AAAAAAAATTAGACACACAACGTATGTAACATACTAGTTAACATTTCTTGCACATCAAAAAAGGAAAACCCAGTAGAAAGATCATCAAAGAGGTTTTTGTATTCTTTTTTCCAATATACATGTTATCAGGAAAACGTGTATTTTTATCGTTGTGATTTTTATACTTTACGACCTTATCGTAAAAGATAAGGTTACGATATGTACAAATATTATACTATCATGTAAATTAGTTGAATCTGATTCGTCGAGAAACGTTTGTTACACTATTACGTACCCGCTGAATAATGAAACTCCGCCCTCCAGCGTAGCAACAGTCAACATTGCTTGACGACGGGTGATATTCCAAAAAATAGCGACTGCGCAGAATTTATGCGCGCAAGGTTCACTGTTATATGTATTTGTATAAAACATTCAATATAATTATATTGTAAACCTTTAAAATTGGTTCCTAAATAAATCTATACTAAAAAGGGTCTAACATTTCCAATGTTTTCGTTACTGAGCGGTCATAAAAAAATCGATGTTTGACCGCAGAGTGAGAAATTGGACCTGTCGATATTGGACTGCTTACGTCACACTGTGGGCGGGATCAGCTAGATTTGATTTGCATTTGTTGGTGCTCGACAGTGACAGAATTGCCCGAAAATTTACATCATGGAAGCCGGCACAAGATACATACATGTCAAAACAATAAATCATAAAAGGTATAACAAAAAATTTATTGACTGTGTTCTCGGGCAAAATGCGTTTTGTCGACCCCTCGAACCAACCTGTTTGCCTTCGGCCTAACGGCCTCAAGCAAACAGTTTGGTTCATGGGTCCGACAAAATGCATGTTGCCCTCGAACCCAGTCAATAAATGTATAATAAATATTACATGTAGTTGAGTGTAAGTTAGTAACATTGAAAAGTTTCACCCCTCGAAAACCATTGTCAACCTCAGCTGCACCTTGGTTGACAGTGGTTTTCTTGGGGTGACAATATACATATATTACATGGCTTCGAGGGCAACATACCAGAATATTTGCCCCCGAGGTGACAGGAAAGCCCTGGAGTGTTATGTCGCCCGATGCCGAAGGCAGAGGGCGACATAACACTCCAGGGCTTTCCTGTTACCGAGGGACAAATATTCTGGTATTGTTGCCCGAGAAATCATGTAATATATGGTATATAACATTTTTAAAAAAACAAAATCGGACATATGTATTGAAGACTATGGACCTGTGTAAATATCTGGAAAAAACATCAAATTGTTTTTTTAAATAGTTGATTGGTGGGTACCAATAGTTTCGATAATAATGCTAAGGAACATTAACACTATTGTTGTTAAAATGATAACGGGGGACAGCTGAAAGTTATGAAGGCTGATTTCTCTTCCTCTATAAATAATTCCGAAATATTCCGTCTTGTTTCATTGCAGAATGTTTTCAGCACACTTGTGCTTATAACTTTTGTTGTATTTACGGAATTTTTCTCCTCAATCAAACTATCTAGTTCCTCTGAATTTAAATGAACATAAAAAAACGTAGACGTTTTCCATACATTTTCATTTTCGCGGAACTGCTAACGTTTGCTTAGCAACTGCCTCTGTGAATTTCGAACCCGATTTAATTAATATGCAGAATGATTACACGCGAGGGAATATAACGGTGTTCAGGAGGGCAACATAACTGTTTCCGGTGTAATATAACTATATCCGGCGTGATTCAGCAGTTTTTCAGGGCATATGGATAAAAATATCATATTTGTGATATAATGGGAAAACTTCTTCAAAAATGTTATATTTTTCAATGTTACACTCAACTACATGCAATATTTATATATTACCATATATTTTCTAAGATTAAACGTGCACTATAACGATGCCTAAAATTATTTAAGAATGCTCATTCAAAATAGCGTATAGAGTCCATTAAGATATGGTAAAGTGTGATGTATGAGGCTTGCATGATGGTATGTTACTTGCAATTGTCACAAAAGAATTATGATGAGTCATCTTTTTTTTTCTAAAAGTGCAGATCGTATTCAAACTTTTTGTAGTTCTTCAACTAATTCTCCATTTTTGTGCATTTCTATAGCTATTTTTCCCTCCTATACAAATTCGCCATCGATGAAAACGTGAAGAATAGTATAGGCCAGTTAATATTATACAGTTATTGCTGGTTTTTGAGGTCAATACAATGATTTAGACACCTGAGGAGTACAATATTCACCAAATCCGAAGGGCGAGGTGAATATTGTACTTTGAAGGTGGCTAAATCATCGTATTGACCTCAAAAAACCAGCAATAATTGTTTTATCATATGATTCAATGATTAAATGACACACACTCATTACGCAATCCATGCCATCTTACTTGTTTACATCTACTGAAGTACTAGCCGAAAATAATGAGAGAAACGGGGTTAAAAAACAACCAGTTGTATTATTTTAGATTTTTAATTTTAGTTTAGGTGCAATGTAGAAAAATAAATGTCAGGCACATATATAGGACTGATTTTGATTAAAAGGGGGAAAAATGACAGCTGACCTCAAAACAAATCTTTGAAACCCCCCCCCCCCTAAAAAAAGGAAACGAATTCTCCCAACTCAAAGTTTTATTTGATGAGATGTAAAGGTCCATAAATGAGGGGAGGGGGCTTTCATTGAAATTTTTTATCCTTATAATTTAAATTAAAACTTTACATTCTCAAAGGGTGGGGAGAGGGGCAGGCCTCCTGCAACCCCCCCCCCCCCCACTCCTCACCCAAAAATCTATGTGCCTTAATGTTATGTTCATATGAGTGGAAGTCAGGTGCAAGTGAAATAACTTTCCAAATCTATTTGCATCAATTTGGAATTTCCCTATCTATTTTTGGTCCAATGTAGAATAAATAATTCCTTACATTGACCAGGTCACGTGCAGGTCAATATAACATAGTATTTTTCTCACATTGTTGGATCTCAGCCAATCAGAGAGATGGGAATTATTCAATCATATAATAAATTCCTTTATTTAAAAAAAACCCACTGTTAATATACAAACAGGTGTCATATATAAGTGATGTATTCAAAATGAGGATGATAAAAAAAGTAAAGCACTGTCTTGATCTGTCTCATTGTGGGCACAGGTGCTTGGGGACGGGACCCCCCCCTCCCGTGTTCCGTACCCCAAGGGTTCATCGACTTTTTTTATATGAAATAGCTGTCTATGACACATTCACCAAGTATTACAATTGAAAAATCCAGAATCTAACTTAAAACTAACCTTTTATAAAAATTCCACATTCTCTGATACTAAAAGAGAACACTTTTTCTCTTATAGTATCAGGGAATGTGATTTTTTTTTAAATAAAAGTATATATATATCATATAAACTGTTTTATCTAAAAAAAAAAAAAGTCGAATAACCCTTGGGGTACAGAACGCGGGGGGGGGGGGGGGTTCCCGTCCCCAAGCACCTAGCTGTGATTGTGGATTGAAATCTTCTGTGGCGGTTCTGCCATAATAACATATATCAGTTACTTGCTAAACGGTAGACATCATACATATTTACATATATTTACATATTCAAAATAAAAAATTACATGTCCAAAATAAAATTACAAATAAGGAAATGGTTTGATTTCTTTATAATGTCATCTGCTCATCACGTGATGGAACTCCTTCTCGCTGTGTGTGACTGGGCGGGACTTGACACCATAGATTTATAATTATTGATAAAAAATAATGTAATAATCTCATTTTTTTTCATTGAATCAAGGATCAGGTCATCTTCGCTGGCCAAGGGTTTTCAGTCCATTTCGCTCGTTTATGGAGCGGAGTGGACTGAAAACCCCTGGCTAGCGAAGATGAGATCAGGTAAAAATGTGAATATAAGGATACATGTAACAGTCTGGTGTTTAGGTCACTTGATAATTTTATGCATAAACCGTCTTCGGTGTTTATGCAAATTATCATGTTTGATCACATCATAAACCAAAAAAAAAAACAACAACAACAACTTGACAGTTATTCCTTAAAATATAATCACATTAATTTTGACTGCACTTTTAATGGAAAAAAATGTAAGCGAGGTAAATTCATGTTTTAAAAAATCCAAAAAAAAAAATGTTTGAAATTAGTTGTACATTTTACTCACAAAGTTCAAATCAATACGTCTCAATGTTATAAAATCAAAGGAGGTGACCGCATTTGAAGGGTTTCGGCGATCAAAAAAAAAGTCGGTCATGTGCAATGTGACAATTGTGAAAAGTTGGATTTGGATGACCCACGTTCTTAATTGTGTTTCGTAATATACATAATTCAGTGCACGTGTGGAGAGAGAGAGAGAGAGAGGGGGCTTTTCATATCATTAAAAATACTCTATCGAAGAATTACACCCGTTGGTAATTTAATTAGTATCATACGTAAGTTACCTGCATTTATTTGCAATTTTTTTACAACAAAGTTCCAAGGACAAAAAAGTAAAATGTTTAACTACATAGTTTTAAATAACTCTGAATTAAGATGCTTAAAATACCAATGTTTCTCTGATTTGAACTGCAAAGAAAGATTTCGACTGAGCTTCCTATATTCAAAATATGTAACTCCATTTTGTAAACTTTCTTTAACTTTTTTTTTTAAATAATTGTTTGGAGTTTACTAAATCGGACTCATGTATTTTATCTTAAAAATTAAACTAGACAAAATTCAAAGTAAAATATGTCCTTCTCCTAGTAATTTGTACGTTGATTCCTAAACAAATCACAATTGTACCATGTACTTGAAGGTACCTTAACTTTTTTTTAATTTTTTACAATTATTTAGGACATGTTTTTGGTAATCTTCAAAACCGATAATTAATTCCTTCTACATATCAACTCCATCTTCATTTGTTGTAAACCTTACCCAATAACCTGCTCATTTACAAATGTCTATTGTACGCATTCCATTAATGGATGAGATCGTCATCGGTCAAACGCAGCGTTAACCTCAGTACTCAGGTATTAAAGTCCTAGTATTGTCAGGTGTACGTAGTTAGCTCATAAGACTTAGTACCACTCTGCTGTCATCGTCAGGTAAGATTTTTAAAGGAAAAAAAACAGAAAACTCAGTACTTATTGGAAAAAACATTTTTTTTTAATAATATTTGCAACTATCATAGAATGAAAAAAGCTCCATCTCGGGGTCAAATTTAGAAACAATTCAAATTCTGAAAGCGATTTTAATAACTCAAAGTTGCTCTATCAATTTTTTTATCTGTTGTTCATGAAATTTAATATATTTATTCTGTGGGGATTTCAAGACGTTCCTGGCTCTAGGAACTGGAAAGGGGGCAAGAAGGGGCAAGTGCCCCCCCCCCCCTAATTTTGTCGATATTCAGTATATTGTGCTCCCCTCTGCAAAAACATCTGATGCCCCCTTCTCTTCATCGTCAAGGAATTTTTGCTGAGTGCCCCCCTACTCACCCAAACTGAAAATGTTTGGATTTCCCCCTCCCCCTGAAATTGCATCATACGGCCTTGACGTTAATGGCCCAAAGTTGCTCCATCAATTTCCTATTCGTTGTTCATGAAATTTTAATAAATTTATTCAGGATGGGAACACAAACTCAGTAAAATTAGTATTCATTGGATATTGCATAAGTGATCGATTTATTCATCCATTCTTTTTTTTACATTTAAGGTACCTCTTATTTAAACTGGCTGAGTATTTAAGTAAATTTGATTGGCTCTTACTAGCTGCAGATCTGTAGCTCACTTGTTTAAAAGAAAAATTGGGATGGACTACGGTCTTCCTTTTTTTTTTTTTTTTTTTTTTTTTTTTTTTTTTGGAGAGCTACAGTTGAACAGTTCTGCAGCTAGACTTCTACCTGAAACTTTGATTTTCGGGTACAAAATAATTATAAAAAAGTGAATGTTGTGTTTTTAGTATAAGCAATATACATGTATTACTCTTGAGAATCATTCCGTTAACATTTAAATCTGAAAATTCAAAGACTGTACTACAGTATGTAAGCAGGTGTGGGTTTTTTTCTTTTCGTCAAAAACACTATTATTTTATCCGGAGAGGTACTAAAAATTGAAATGCTCAGTTGAAAATGGCCAATACTCTTACATGTGAAAACTGGAGAAATACGATTTACATGTACATGAATATATTTTTTCTTTTTCAATTTTATGATTTTGCATATTGTTTCCTTCACACTTTTTTTTTCTCAAACCTTCTTGTATAGCAATGAAAAGTTAATCTGGATCAATGATTACATATGTAGTGAATTAAGAGATACTCTATAAAAAACATTGCAGGTTGTAAATATGGATACTAAACAGTTAAGTTCTTGTCAAAAATATTAACAAAAGAAATGTGTAGATTAAAGTTTTTTATCACTGCATTAGATCTAATCAAACAAAATTTTCCCCCTTTTTCCTCCTCGGAACCAAAATTTTCTTAACTTTTTTTCTTTACAGGGTCTCTATGATGAAGGTGGCTTGCTTTGGTTTGTTATTTCTAGTGGCAGCTGTCGGTGCACAGCAGACAAGGTTAGATATATACTTTTATTCTCTTAGCATGTAAGGAACTATAGGTTAATTTTCATTTGGACTGAACAAATGAATATGATAGTATAAATGTAAAATGCACCATACATACACTAGTACATGATTGTATACACATGTACATGCTAATACAGTTTCAATTCAGTATTGTCATTTATGTTTCTAGTTTTCTGATTTCCATATTCTCTTGTAATATCGTCTTGTATGTCACAAATAATCACCACTTTTTAAATAAAACAGTTGGAATCCTTTTATTCTCAAATATTTAGATTGGTGAGAACCTATGCCAATCCGTACCTGTTTCGTCTCCAAGGTGGAAGCTTCCCACAGAGGAGGATGATCCGTAATTATGATGATGACTTGTTGACATCAGGTGTAACCAGGGTATCCCCCGGGGGTCTCAGAAGGGTAGTATCTCTTGGTGATGATGACAATACGTTTTCTCCCCTGAGAAGAAGCGCACTTCTCGTTCGAAGAAGATCCCCGGTGAGAAGACTGGGAGTAGGAAGACGTTCTCTCATGACGTCACTGTACGATGATGACGATAATTACAGTTTTTTGAGACCTAGGAGACTAACAGGATTCGGTACAACAATAAGAAGAATGGCTCCAAGATTTGATGATGATGATCTGGGTGACATCCTTGGACGCAGAATGAGAGGTAGCACAAGATACCTTGGTCCAGGAGTGGGACTTGGACGAAGAGTAATTCCTCGAACCATCGGAAACAGGAGAAGCATATTTTCGCCAAGGCGAGTTCTTAGTGACGACAATGACGACTTCGATGACCTGTTCAGATTTAACAGGCGAGCCCCTCTAACCATGGATTCCAGGAGGCGCGTGCTTTCACCGTTGCGAGTTAGCAGCCTAGATGACGATTATGATGATGTCCTAAGGCCATTCTCTAGAAACATGAGAGGTAGGGTTTCACCAATGCGAAGATTTGGTGACGATGATGACGATTTCGATTCCCTAAGATTTAACCGGCCATTCTCTAGAACCATGGGAAATATGAGAAGCATGGTCTCACCAATGCGAGGTTTTAGTGACAATTTCGATGATCTTGATGACGGTTTCAATCTAAATTTGCCCTCTAGAACCATGGGGGGTCGCAGAAACATTTCGCCAATGCGAATTTTTAATGACAATAACGATGATCTCGATGACCTTTGGAATCCACTCAGGCGTTCTATGTCCATAGGAAGCTCGAGAAATATGGCTTCATCCATGCCACTTCGTAGTGACGACGATATGAATAATCTCTTTAGCTCTTTTGGTGGCTCTAGGACCTTCGGAAACATGGGTTCCTCATTGAGATTTGATAATGACGATGACGATTGGCTGAAATCATTTTCAGGAACGACCAGTAGAATGGGTACCTTAGGAAGCACATCCGTCTCTAGTACCACAGGAAGCTCTCTATTGGACAACGATTTTGATGACAATTACAATACTCTGGAACCATTCAAAATTTTTTAGAAATGTATACAAATTTAAAATAAATGGAGGAAGTTGAGACAATTCTCTTTGCTGTTTTTTATGTATTTATTTACTAGTATTTTTGTTTTTGTTTGTTTGTTTGTTGGTTTTTTTTTTTGGGGGGGGGGGAGTTATGGTTGTGTAATGTAAATACTAATATGATGGTTATTTGTTAAATTGTTATTGAGCTTGCAGTGTGTTTGTAAACCCTGTCAATTGGACACGTGCTTTAGACGGCACACGTTTAAATGAACACGGAAAAATCCAAATGAACACGAAATGGTGGTGTTCAGTTGATTTTTGTCATAAATCAACTAGAAAATGTCCTAGGATGCATCCCATTTCAAAAAAATGAAGTGTTAATTTGACCGGATGCATGAGATCTGTGTAATGAGTGTGTATAAGATGACCACCGATCCATCATTTTTTCTCGGCGAGACTTACACACATTGCGAGTGCGCATGCTCGTTACATCAAATGACGTCGTAAATGACATCATAATACAGTACCCGTTTCACACTTAGTCATGTACATGAGGACGAAGTAAACTTTGTAAAAGGTAAGTACAAAATCTGTAAATAAATAAATAAATTTTATGTACATGTATTAAATATGGCCTATGAATAAATGAGTAAAGATATGTGTCCATTATGACATTACGGCATTATTGTTTACTCAATAATTTCCTACGATATGTATACATGTATATGCTGTATTCTTACAATGTGCATCGTTGCATGATTGCAGTATAAATGGTTAAAACCATTAAACTAAAAGTTATTATTATTAATGTTAGTGAAAACATAAAGAAATCTTCTATGTCTCTGGGAAGGTAAACACATTCCGTATTGGCATATGTTGTACTCGCGGAGAGAAACTATTTCTGCATGTACGTGCATCTAATATTTCGATTTTTATTGAATCAACGTTGATCTTTTGAAATGTGTAGCAAAATATATTGTTAGAAATTTTAAATATTTTCTTGCGTTTCGCGTCTTGTTTATGTGTCATGTCAAGTTCGAAGGTTTCATATTAAAAACGAAAGTAGAGTCGGTCACAACGTGTTATGGGCCGGGGAAACGTTCAGTCTGCCTGGGTTATATATAGGTACGTGGGCTGCTAAAAGCATTGTTAATATTGTGTACATATTAAGCTGTCAACTAAAAAAACACATGTACAACTGAGGCGTAAATATTAGAAATAATTTAAATGATGAAAGGGGGGGGGGGGGGGTTAGCTGTTTACTTCTCCCAGGGACATAGATATAATTGTTAAGCATGTATAGGTCCCTGCTTCAACGTGGTCTTCTAGCCCTGGCAACCTGAGGGTATAGTGCAGCTATATAAGTTGATATTAATGTCAAAGGCATGCTGTGCATTTAGACAGTGCCATGCCCTAATTTTAATGTACAAAGTTTTCAAAGTATGTGAATTTAAAGATTGATACTTGTCATTTTATTGTTATGCACTCATTATTGCATTGGGACAGTTTTGAGAGAATATGTATATACATGTATAGCTGTGATGATTCATGAAAATGATGCGACTTCTACTAAGTTACAGTAATTAAAGAATATATTTTCCTATTTATTTATCATGGAATTTATGTTTTAAAACTGCATAATATTATAATACATTTCAGGTAGATTCATTGGTTTCGGATCAGAAATTATCAATGTTCATGGATTCTCAGAACACAGCAGAGAGAAGTTTATGGTATGAATGCAATTATATAATATTCATTTAATAGTGAAAACCTACATGTCAGAAAAAAAAACAAAACTACCTGAAGTTCTGATGATCGGAGTTCATGATGATGTGTTTGTGTATCAACATGATCTGTACATGTTTTCCTGCATTATTTCAATATACTACAGCCATGAATCAGTGTTTTACATATTTATTTACCTTAATGACAGTCTGTTGGCCCAATTTGGGAGGATCAATAAATTTAAAATTAAGTCTGTATGTTATCAGCTAATTGTGCCAGTATAAAAAAAAAATTAAAGGTTCAGTTTAAAAGACAAAGAACTTCACCAATGATACATGTAGTCCAGATAAAAAGTAAAATAAAATTATTTAAATGGGATTAAAAAAAAAAAGTTGTTTGCAACTGACAGTCATACTGATAATTTTCATTATTAAGCTATTTTCCATAATAAACAGGACAGATAATTAATACTACACCATTGGCCATTGTTGTCATCGGGGCATTCCATATGTAATGTGTTAATATATTAGACAAATACGAACTACTATAAATTCTCTTTTATGGTGTGCACACTTCTATTTTCAGAAAAAAAACCCAAAAAAACAAAGAAGGAGGGGTACACACTATACATGTATTTATTGGGGTATAATGCAACCACTGAAATTCAAAATGAAGAGATTTTTTTTTTTTTATTGAGGGATTTAAAAAGAAAAATTAATGAAAAGATTTTCCAACTGCAGAGAATACAATTATGTTATTATACAGTTAAAGTATATCATTGAGGGAGGGAGCAAGATTCCAGTTCCCCAAGGCCAGTGCTATACAGTGTATATATATACACACAATATTATGCTTTTAAAGCAGAAATATTCCTTTATTTTGTCATTTGTTCGTTGTTAATCCCACATGAAATATTACATTTCAATATAATGAGTAGGGTTACATTCATAACAATGAAATTTAATGCCTACACAACCTTCTCAGATAACATAAGAAATAACAAAATTTTATGCCCACGAAAATTTGTCCTTCTACAGTACATGTATATAATCAACACCTTAATGCGAGTAAAACTTACAGTAGATGCAAAAATAGTATTTTTAAGTGCAGTGACTGGAAAAGCACAGTAAATTCAGACCAAACTCAAGTTATTTAATCATTATTTAGTGTCTAAGGAACAAGTTGTTTGTAAGTGTATTAAAAATAGTAAAAAAGACAATAAAAGACATTTTGACAATACAACAAAAAATATAAGGGGCCTCATAATCTTTTAGAGGCCGGACTCTATTAATTAATGTTTGATATCGATTGACTGGCAGGCGCTGTAAACCTGAGTGATCAATTATGTTAAGAGAAGTTTGTTGATAAAGAGTATCTGTTAGAATGTACCACTTAACCAGATTATTAAAATTTAATTTAAAAGGAAAACATTTTGTTGATAGTGAACAAGTCGGTGTGCCAAGAATATTACAAATGTATATGTAATTTCAAATGAGCAAGAAATGTTATCATCTGTGTATTATAATTACTTAGATTGCATAAATTAATCTCTCTGTATATATTTTTTGATGGAATTAGAAGAAATCTGAAAGATTGTAACCCCCCCCCCCAATTTTTTACCCTCCATGATTATTTTAATTTCAGTTTTTTCATACAAATCAATTACACTCTAGTATATACTGCACACCAAAGAGCTCTGATTTTATGGTATTTTTATTGAGATAGAGACTAATTCGCCCTGGGGTCTAAATCAAATTTGATAAATTGAAATCCTAGCAGTCTGTTACTGAATTTTAGTTAATACAAGCATTCTTAACAATTGAATAAAAAAATCATATTGTATAAAGGTATAAATAATGAGCTTATCAGATCTACTTCATTTTCTTGAATTTCAACATGTTCAACACAGGGTACGTGGCATGTTTACACCCTAAGAAAAATATTCAAAGACATTAAAGTATTGATGAACAGAAATCTCTACACATTGTTTACTTGAGTGAGATAACACATGCAAATAAAGTGTTCAATTTATTTATCTTGGACTAAAAACATTTTTGATTTAGTGTATAGAGGGTCCTTAACAGTCCTTTAATTGTCTTCATTCTAATCGGGATCGGTATTCAACTTCACGTTCACTTTCATTTTAATCATGCGAATGTGATTTTGACAGCTGACAAGAATATGTATTATCTGGTTGTGAAGTTTTGATGAGGGTGTACAGTATGAGATATGTACATTTAATGTCGTCTTCACAAGGAGGGTTTAATTCGAATTAAACGTAAGTTAATACAGATTAAATTTGAACCACATTCACATGGACAATTTAATGCAAATAAGTTAATTCAAATTAATTTACTGCGCATCAAATTTCTTTGCATTTAGGCCGTGTGCACACTAAGGAAAGCTATAATTAGAAATAAATTTTGATGCATGCGTAATAGCACAATTAAGCCACATGCCATATGTTGCTGGTCAGATACATTATTTACAAGATTAAATACAATGAAACTCCTCAATGTTTGGAAATATATGATTTTTTTTAATATGATGACCTAGCTGAAGTTGAAAATACAGTGCTACCTTGGTATATTGCCCTCCGTTATATTGCCACCCTCGCTTATTGCCAAGAATTCTCGAAGAACGGATTTCCCCCTTTTGTTAATACACCCGTTATATTGCCACCCCTGCTTATTGCCATCCGCCACTGGTTTTTGGAAACAAAAGGTCAAATTATATAAGGAAAACCCTCGAGAACAATGCCAATTACCTAGAGCGGGTCGGTAATTTGGACAACACACCCGTGCTTTGACAGTGGTTGCGGTGAAGCGTAACGGGCTGGACAAGGAATTCAGCTAAATTAAAAATAATTGGTGAATAAAACTCAAAATTAGCAATGTCTTTGGCGTGTTTTTATAAGAAAGAAGAATTATTTCATCACAGTAATGGAAACGTCAGGCAAGAGAAAGCGTACAAATTTGGATTACGAGAAGAAAAAAATTTATTGATCAATATTCGATCTATTTGATTGTAAATCGCCGATTATTGCTTATCATGGATAATGCCCCCAACCATAATAAATGCAAATATTCATTTGTGTCCTCTTAGATTAAGAAGCCATTCTATCGATCAAAAGGAAATCCCACCTCTATTTTTAGACTACTATAATTCCGCACGTGAAAATATTAAGGATTCTGTTACCCCTGAATTTTTCATAAATTGTTGGGCACAGATTGGGTTGATTGATAAATATCAAAACAGAATCGGAAGAGAAGTACACAGGTACCAGCAAACATAAGAATGCATGTTTATTACAACAGGTTGACGTATTCTGACACGTGACTTGCCATTCGTCATGACACTTTACCAACCAAACTTTTTAACTGATTCAGAAATTCTTGAGACGGTGAAAAAAATCTACTTTCGATTCAGATGAGATTAATAATAATTCTCAAAACTTTTTTAATACCGAGAGGCTATAACGGCTACTGACATCTTTGTTATCAGGTTATTAAATTCTTGGAGCATGGCGAAAGAGCAGGGAATTGACAGGTGTTCAATATTCTGACATTTTGTTTCTTTTCAGTAAAAATATTGTAAACTAAAAAAATAATGACTTCTTTTTCAAAAAGAAACGAGAGCTTCCCTTATACGTATGTGCACAAGCATGACATTAATAGACTGTAACTGAAATGAATTACATAAACTATTTATTTTGCTTTGATTACCCACTGAATTGTAATTTATGGCAGAATTCGTTATATTGCCACCCTCGCTATAATGCCAAAATCTGCCTTGGACAAAAGCTGGCAATATACCGAGGTAGCACTGTACACTGTTTTATAAATAACTATATTTTGTATTTCCTGTCCTATATATACTAATGGTACATGATTAGATATATCATGTATAATGACATATTGATGATGCTTTATCAATGGACAGTAATTATTCATTTTTATTCCTACATTAACTTATTCAGGTGTGACCGGTCAACAGAGGATGCTTACTCCTCCTAGACACCTGATCCCACCTCTGGGATTTCCAGGGGGTCCTTGTTTTTGCAAGGCACTTCACAGATTTGTAATGTTTATACATTTTTTGAGATTGATCACTATTCATTATATTTAATTTTTTTTTTCATTCACATGTAATTATCTCTTTGAACTCAAAATTAAAGACACCACAGAGGCATATACATCTGTTTCATATTTGAATATTTTACTAGACAAAGACATTAATGGCAAAGTAACAACTAAATTTTATGATAAACACATCACTTTAATTTTTCTATTATTAACTTCCCTTACTTATGTAGCATTATCACCTTCATATGGAGTTTATGACTCCCATTTGATTCAAAGGACAAGAGCATGTGTACCTAGTACAAACAATTACTAAAATGAGGCAAGCTATTGGCAAATAAGTTGATGATACAGATTGAACATTTTGCAAATTCTGTGTTTGATACAATGACCTTGTTAACAAATACAGTCTACTGTACAGATAAGTCAAATGTTTACTGATCGATGTTTTTCATACAGAAATTGTTATGCCATTATTTTCATACTGAATTGTCTACAGATTTATCCATTTCACCCTATTATGACAAGGAGCTCACAGCAGGTGTAACTAGTTGACAGGGGATGCTTATTCCTCCATGACAACTCATCCCACCTCTGATGTTTTAGAGATCTATGTTTGCAATGCTCACAATTAGTAATGTTTCAATGCACCTTTGAGCTTAAATACTGTTTGTAATCTTGATATTTCATTAAAGGTCTGCAACATTCTAATAGATGGGAATCGCTTTATCTTTTTAGTTATGAACATTTCTTATCAACAAACCCTGTAAGAAGAAGACGTCTGTTCTACAGCTTGTGGTGGATCATAGAACACATGATATCAACCAAGTTTAAAGGAAGCATGTATAGCCACAATAGAAAGATTTAAGGATTGTGAGAAACCAAATATGACAAATCAGAATAAATTCCATGGGAGTGTGAAAAAAAAGAATAGTAGAGTGTTATCCTCAGGACTTTTTTCAGACTTCCATTAAGTCAGGAAATACTGTTGAACTGACAAAATTAACAAAAATCATGATTCTCAAAAATCTAAGGAAGATGTGCGAGTTAAGACTAAGACGGATTTTAGGAGTTTTGATGACAAAGAATCAACCATTGGAAATATGGCTCTTTGAACTTGGATCTCATTGTTGGTAAGTGAATTAAACATTTATATCAATTATCTTGATTGTTAATGACCTAGCAATTTTAATTACTACCATTTAATTTTAACTAATTTTTACATGTACAGGGTTTTAAACTAACTTGTAATCTTTGATAGCAATGTGGGCTACTGAACCTCAATTCTGGGGCCCACATCAAAATTTATTCACCCACAGATTATCACACCTTCTATTGAATATAAAAACAATAACCCCATTTTTCTTTTCTTTTTTATCATGTGTTTTGTGTTTCTTTTCTATCCGTTGTAACATTATGCACGACTTATCTAAATTTGAAGTGGAACTCTTCTGTTTATGAAGATTGATATGATCATTCAATATCATATATAGAGCACATGGCACGTTTTCATTCACAAATAACAACAGAACTTTTTGGTTTCTTGGGCTTATTGACCCGTCGATGTCACATTGTGCCTGACACAATCACTTAGACGCTTTATGTATAAGTACTTCTTACGGGTAATCATAAAGCACTTTACTGATTATGAAATTTTTCAAGAGAAAAAACAAAACATTCGGACAAAATTGAAAAACAAATATTTATTATCGTAAATTTTCTAATCGCCATGTGGGCAACTTGAACGTAATTTTAAGTCGCCCATATGGAACATTAGTCGCAAATTGCGAGTGGGCGACTGTTAATTTCAAACCCTGATGTAGCTTCTCACATTGATTTTTTTAAAAATACATGTACATATATTTTTAATTTTCATGAAAGCTAATGGACAAGGTGCATGTATGACTTAACACCCCCCTTCCCACCCTTTTTCCAGTTTTAGCTCACCTGAGCTGAAAGTTCAAGTTAGATCACATATTGTCCAGTGTCTGTCCGTCCATCTGTAAACTTTTCACATGTTTTCAACTTCTTCTCAAGAAGCACTGGACCAATATTAAGCAAAGTTGGTACAAAGCATTCCTGGGTAAAGGGGATTCTAAATTTTAAAATGAAGGGCCAAGTTTCCTTCCAAGGGGAGATAATCAAGAAATGCAAAAATAGGGTGGGGCCATTGAAACATATTCTTTCAAGAAGCAATGAGCCAGAAAAGCTGAAACTTATATGTAAGCTTCCTGAGGTAGTGTAGATTGTAAATTATTCAAATCTTGCCCCCACAGGGCATGATGGGGCCACAAATTAGGGGATGAAAATTTTACAATGAAATATATAGGGAAAATCTTCAGATATCTTCTTCTCAAGAACCACTGTGGCAGAAACGCTGATACTCATATAAATGCTTCTTAAGGAAGATTAGATTATAAATTGTTCAGATCATGGTCCCCGGGAGTAGGGTGGGGCCACAATAGGGAATGGATGTTTTACATTGAAAATATTGTAGGAAAAACATCTTTAAAATTCTTCTTCTCAAGACTACTGGACTAGTAAAGATGAAATTTAGTTGAAAGCTTCCTGATCGAGGTAGTGTAGATTGTAAATTGTTCAAAACATGTCCCCTGGGGGTAGGATAGGGCCACAATAGGGAATCAAAACTTTACATTGAAATATATAGGAAAAATTTTAAATATCTTCTTCTCAAGAAATACTGGACTAGAAAAGATGAAAATAGGTGAAAGCTTTCTTAGGTAGTGTAGGTTTTAAATTGTTCAGATCATGGCCCCTGGGGGTAGGGTGGGGCCACAATAGGGATTACATTGGATAAATCTTTAAAATGCTTAATTCTTCTCAAGAACATTAAAGCCACAATGAAACATAATAATGTAAGAAGCATCCTCTGGTAGCGTAGATTCATTTTTATTAAATGATGGCCCCTATATATAGGGTTGGGCCACAAAAGACGATCAAAATTTTACATAGCCATTAGGAACACATGTATATTGGGGGAAAAATCTGTGGCAGAACAGCAGGGCCAAAGTGACTGATAGGTGAGTGTTGTTGCCCATGGGCCTCTTGTTTTGTTGTTCATAAGCCCCCTAGCTTTGCTTTGAGTCTAATCTCATAAATGCTTTTTCATTCAAAACTTACACAAAGTGTAGAGTAAATATTCATTTAATTAAAAGTAGGGATGAGTATCAAAATGCAAAAAAATTTAATCATGACTGTCACAATATTTTGACTTGTGTTTTATGATATATATTGATGCATATCACTTAATTTTTTTTTACTTTTGTTCTACGTGTTCTATAGAATATTAAAAAAAAATTCCTTGAAGTTTCCACTGTAAAATTGTTATTAATAAGAATAAATGTGTTCTTCAATCATTATGATAAGGTTTGTTTATAAATATAATTTATCATGTTTATAGAATCAGTAATCATGGTAATCCAAAATTCTATATCTCAAAAAAAAAAAGTTTACATTTTGTAAAGTACAGTGAAGTCGTACTTAAATTAAGATGACTTGAATTCTTTTCTGATTTTTAAATTGACAACCAAAAAAGTAAAGATAATTAAGATTGCCTTTAACTGGTAACCAACTTCAGTTGAAAGTTATCTCCATATACTGGTCCATGTATAACAAACACCCCTAATTAAGAGACTATGTGCGACAAATAAGGACTTATAAATTTTATGAATTTATAATTGCAATAAAATCATGAGATATTTTTAGATTATGATAAAATCTGTTGAAAGCAAATGTGTCAGATAACATGGTTAATCATGTTAATTATGTAAGTTTAACTGATAAGAGGGATAAGTTGAAGACACTAAGTCATGTAAGTTGACAACATATTTATTAAAAAATGGTGAATGAATTCTAGCAGTGGACAGGCTTTCTACAGTACAGTGTATATATACCGTATATACTCGCCTATAAGTCGGTTTTTTGGGAGTTGTAATTTGGACCAAAACTCTTTGTCCGACTTATAGGCGAGTTATAAAAAGACTGATATTTTAGACGGTCAACATGGTCAATCCCTCTAATAAAAGCTTAAAAAAATACAACCGACTTATATGCGAACCACTTTATAGGCGAGTATATACGGTAATATATATATATTTATTTATTATATGATTGAATAATTCCCATCTCTCTGATTGGCTGAGATCCAACAATGTTAGAAAAATACTACGTTATATTGACCTGCACGTGACCTTTCAGGTCAATATAAGGAATTATTTATTCTACATTTGACCAAAAATAGATAGGGAAATTCCAAATTGATGCAAATAGTTTTGGAAAGTTATTTCACTTGCACCTGACTTCCATTCATATGAACATAACATTAAAGGCACATTGATTCTTTGGTGAGGGGTGGGAGTGGTGGGTTGCAGGAGGACTGCCGCTCTCTCCCCACCTTTTGAGAATGTAAAGTTTTATTTTAAATTTTAAGTATAAAAAATTTCAATGAAAGCCCCACTCCCCTCGTTTATGGATCTTTATATCCCACTAAATAAAATTTTGAGTTGGGAGAATTCTTTTCCTTTTTTTTGGGGGGGGGGGGGGGGGCTAGTCAAAAGTTTGTTTTCAGGTAAGTTGTCATTTTTTTCCCCTTCTAATGCCCCCATTTTCAAAATCAATCCTATATATGTGCCTGACATTTATTTCCTCTACATTGACCCTAAACTAGAATTAAAAATTCCAAAATACATGTGATAAAACTGGTTGTTTTTTAACCCTGTTTCTCTCATTATGTTCAGGTAGTACTTCAATAGATGTGAACAAGTAAGATGGCATGGATTGCTTAATGAGTGTGTGTCATTTAATCATATAATAAAACAATTATTGCTGTTTTTTCGGTCAATACGATGATTTAGCCACCTTCGAAGTACAATATTCACCTCGCCCTTCGGGCTCGGTGAATACTGTACTCTTCAGGTGTCTAAATCATTGTATTGACCTCAAAAACCAGCAATAATTGTATAATATTTAATGTATATATGTACAGCTAATATTTGTATGTTAAGACTTCCTTTACACAATATTTTTTTAATTCAAAAGCCCCTGCAACCTACGCATCTAATAATTATTTTTTTCAAATTTAATCTGCCATAGCAAGAATGATTCGAGTGATGAAAAATATTTGCTAAAATGGATAGATTAAAATTTCTAATGTTTAAAAAATGTTTTCTCTACTCATTATTCATTAAAATTTTATGTAAATCTAGTTTTAAATTTTATAATTCTGTTTGGATCACCAAATGTAAGAATATCACTTTAAAAAAAAAAAAAAAAAAAAAAAATCTCAATCCAAAAAAGAAGGGTCTTTTTATATGTTTAACATTTGAGGGGGTGTAAACTTCTTATTTTAATAGTCCCATGTCGTTTAAACTGGAGAGAACTATAGATTTTCTCCTTGACTGTCTGTCAGTCTGTCCCATTTGGTTTTCCACACTTTTTGTTTTATTAAAACCGTGCTCTGAAAAGTGGGATTTTCCTTTTAATTTATTTAGTTAGCATGTTCTATTATGACACATCATGTACATGTACTAAGATCAATATTTTCATGATGTTCATTTTAAAATTAATGAATATACTACTGTTCCAGAGAGTCTCCAAAATATTTGTACACCATATGTAATTATTTTAGTCCCCTTGACCAGTGAAACCGAAGGGGACTACAGGTTTCCCCTTTATCTGTCTTTCAGTCTGTCTGTCAGTCTTTATCACTTGGTTTTCTGGATTTTTTTTCTAAACTATGGGCATTGGTGGCATATTTCTGCCCCCTACATGCAAGATAAATTATGTTTACATGCAACATAATTATGTAGATATGCAACTTATTTATGCCAACATGCAAAATAATTATGTTACCTGCAAGTTTCCAACTTCTCAAGAGAATCTAATTTTAAACTTTACTTATGCACGCCATTATATGACATCATACAAGCAAGATGTAACAGAATTATGTTGACATGCGACTAATTTATGTTAACATGCAAGATAATTATGTAGACATGCGACTTATTTATGTCAACATGCAAGATAATTAATGTTAACATGCAACTTATTTATGTCAACATGCAAGATAATTATGTTGACATGCGGGTTAATTTATTATGTCAATATGTGAGATATGTTTGTTGACATGCAACTTATTATCTTGCATGCATATGTTGACATAATTATTTTGCTTGTTTAAATATAACTCGCATGTTGACATAAATAAGTTGCATGTTGACATGAATAAGTCACATGTTGACATAAATAAGTTGCATGTTAACATAATCATCTTGCATGTAAAATATAACTCGCATGTTGACATAAATAAGTCGCATGTTGAAAAATATAAGCTGCATGTTAACATTATTATCTTGCATGTTGAGATAAATAAGTTGCATATCTACATAATTATCTTGAATGTTGACATAAATAAGTCGCATGTCTACATATTTATCTCGCATGTTAAAATAATTATTTTGCATGTTGACATAGATAAATTGCATGTCTACATAATTATGTTTCATGTTAACATAATTTAACTTGCATGTAGAGGGCAGAAATATGCCAGCATACTAAACACCCGCAGATACAGTGTACATGTGTATTTAGCTGATTTTTAGTACATGTGTGTGTACCTTGATAATTAAGTTACAGATCAAGTTTGCATTTCATTCCACTTTATTGATTTTTGACAGAATTATAGCCTTTCTAATTTTTAAGGGGAACCAGATTACATGTACATTTGCGAATAATTCCAAATTCAAATAATACACTGTTTTATATATATATATATATATATATATATATATATATATATATATATATATATGCAGGAAGGATTTGATAATTTGAAGTGTTTTTTTTTAAACATGCATGATTAAATGATCATTTAAATTTAATTTCAATATAGATGCATGCAAGATGGTGGGCTAAAGAAGAAAACCAGGACAAAAGAAAATTCCTAGTGTTCATCAGAAAAAATAATCATGCAGCCATTTTGAGTGCTTGAATGTCCAACTGAGAGAGCCAGCCAGTTCGAAAAATATTTCTTGGAAGTTAAACAAATTCTGCTGTGACAATTGAATTAAAGTTTAAAAAGTACATTTAAAAACATTCTGATTCATCTATAAGTGAGACTAGATTGCCTTTGACAGTTGCCAGTGGAATTCAGATCTTCTAAATTGTACCAGTATTAATAAATTGAAGTGAGTTGCCTTAAAAATAACATTTGTATATGGTGTACATTACTTCAAGAAGATATAGCACACCTGTTTAAACAGTGAGGTCCATAGCTAAACATGGATATGGAATTTAGCTCACCTGATCCAAAGGCTCAATTGCACAATTCTGATAAAAAGAAGTTTCTGGTATCCAACAATGCAACATTTATGTTTTGACTGTTTGTCCTCCATTAACTTTTAACATTTTCTTTTTTTTCTAACATTTGGTCAATGTAAACCACATTTGGTACAATGTATCTCTGCTTAAAAGGAATAAAGCTTATTCAAATAAAGGTGCTGCATCTTTTTTCAAGGGGAGATAATGAAGAAATATGAAAAATGGGATAATGTCATTAAAAATCTGTTATTTTAAGGTATTCAATGTATAATGAAGGAATATTGAGCAATTTTGAATTATTTTAAACTAGTTAAATATGTATTGCTAGATATTAATGATGAAAGTAAAATGAACCAAATTCACATGACTGATAACATATTAGAAACTGCATGACCATTTTGCACCGTAAACATTTTCAAGAGTTATCTGCCCTTGATGCAAAGAAGAAAATTTAAATTTTGACAATATATCTGTGGTAGATGACTTATTTTATTTCATATTTCAATAAAGAGAGAGTTTATGCATATTTTCACAAGAGATTTGTATGAGGTTCAAATTACCTTTTTGAATATCTAAACAAAACATGCGCTGCCCATAGACTTCAATATAATATTCAAGGTGCAATTAATTGGACAATAATCAAAATTTTGTAAATTCCTTTGGTGGTGTACTTTTATTTGATAACATCTTCAAAATGCTAATTTGATTAAAAACACTGGACCATTCATTTATTAGGTACAGAATATGGTCATTATACATTGAATACCTTAAGAACAATTAAGAACAACTTGATCATATAAGACAAATGTTATCCAAGAGTTTTCTTTATGAGCATAGATTCAAGTTTTTTTCATTGGCCATAAGGCGAGGATAGAGCTGCAGAGGGGTTAAAAGTTTTGCCTGAGAATATGTATAAGTGATAATTAGCACGGTGACATTTATAAAGCAAATTCATATGCCAACATTACAACATCATATAGATTTAGTTTTTTCAAATTATAAACATTGGGGTTAGGAAAGGGCTAAAAGTAGGGTTTTCATTTTGCATGTATCTATGTGTCAGTATTTAATTTTGTTTAAATTATGGACATTTGGATTAGAAAAGGACTAAAATTAGGGGTTAAATTTTACATGTATATAGGTGTCAACATTTTTCATGGGAATATGGAGGGTAAAAATCTTTAAAAATAATCTCTTTAAGAGCAATAGACACAAAATGACTCAGGCAAGCATTTTGGCTTTGGCATCTTCAGTGTATTAGATTTCATTCTTATAATTTTAGGAACATAAAAGTACACCCTATTCTGAAGAAACACAGCGAGTTTGATTTTTTTAAAATAATAAATGATTTTAATGGAAAAAGATGAATTAAGCCTATAGTCATAAAGGTCCAGTTTTCCCTTTGAAGTTTTTATAAGGGGTTTTACCTATTTAATAAGTAATTTGAATTTGTACTTGGTTGTACATGACACACATCTCTGTCTATGTAACAGTATATTATATATGCAAATATTGTTCAGAATTAGTTGCCTTATTAATGAAATTATTTGTTAAGATTAAAGTGGGCCTTCTGGTCAGGTGGTTTTTTATTTTGCAATCACTTTTTCATCTTTTTTTTTTTAAATCAAATTTGAAAATATGTAAAGAGATATATAAGGCTGTATTCACTATTTATATTTCAAATCTCAGTCTATTTTATTATTTTATTATTTGGTCCACTAGCCTAGCCCGTATTCATTAATGTGCTAAAATATTCTCATTACATAAATGAATTAATTAAGTAAATTCGTATTCATTTTATCAAATATATATGTATGTTTGATTGTGTCGGTCAGAAGTTTTTTAGAACTTGTAACCAAGCTTAAAAAATTCATTGTTTGCATATGCAATATCCGGTAACAATATCCGGTAACATGCCTCAAATTTTGACCAAAATTAGCCACACTCTCCCTGCTACCGTCCTACGTTCAACAAAAGAATCGGTGAAAATGTTATGCACCCCCTCCCCCGCTCCACGTTTTGGGTACTTATATGAGAATCCTCCCCTTTTCTCATAATTCCCGCTTTGCATGATATTGATGGAAGGGGTTAAGAAAAATAATACATTATTAATAAGGTTGGATACAGGTGTGATTGAATCAGGGCTTTGGAGCACACCCCATTAAAGAAATTTTGGAAATACTTAAGAAACCAATTTATCTTGATTATTTCTTTCTTCTGTGGAGAGCACATTGCGGAGTTCATAAATCCACAAAACCTCTTTTCACTAAATTCAATTTTCATGCTACAGGAGTTGAAGTGTCTTGATTTTATTCCCTATTAATAATTCATTAATTATTTATTCAAAATGAAAATTTAAAAAAAAAAATGATAATTAAGCACGAGTTTCAGTGCCAACCCCCCCCCCCCCCTCAAAAAAAAAAGCATAAAGTTCAACGAATGAACGCATTATCTGAAGACTGGGTATTAAATTGTTGTCCTTCCTCTTTGACAATGTGTTCTATAGAATGCATTCATCAAGATCATAACCCAGTGGTATCTAAGAAATTTTGAGTAGTGCAACGTTGAGTAGTGCAATTTTAATGTGTACAAGTAATAGCTTTTCAAAAAGCTTGTCTGACTAATCAATTAATATCTATGGAACGTATATGCAAGATTTTTCCGTCATCAAGGAGTGACATAGTTGCGATACTTCATTACACAAGATGTACAATTGACTTTCTCAAATGTCATAACCAAATACAACAAATTAACGAATATCTAAGACATGCCACTATTTGGTCATTTATTAGCGTAGATTATAATCAAAGGCGGATCCAGCACCGGCGCGCCTGGCGTGCGCCCCCCACCCCCGTTTGAATTTTTTGTATGTAGAACTTATGTGTTCATTATGCTAAAATCAAGGAAAAAACACCTCTTATTTGTAAGAATTCGTCAGCTTCCGGGAGCTTCGCCCCCGAACCCCCATCAGGGCTTTGCCCTGGACTCACTGGGGTTTCAATACAGCCCCCAGACCCCCTGCCTTCTACTGCGCCCTCTCGTTATGAAATTCCTGGATCCGCCACTGATAATTCTGAGAAAAATAGATGATTCTTAAGAAATTCATACTACATGTACTCTCTTACTAGAGAGCGCGCCTCATGTACACTCGACGATGAAGTAAATTATGAACAGTTTTAACTGGGAAAGTTGTCTTGAAGTGCTTGAGACAAAAATGCTTCAATGCTGCTCTAGAAATCAAACTAAATGACCTGTACACTTTATAGCTAGCACAAAACAAGATACTAACAACACCCCCCCCCCCCCCCCGGACAAAACTCAGGCGGTGATGGTCTTACCATATACGTGTACATGTATTATAATTGAGTTTAAAATACATCTTTATATACAGTTTTGAAATTGTTAAGTTTTTCTTTTCAACCGATTTCAGGACCTAGGCTTTCTCATAATTATAATAACCTGTTTTTTATGAAATGAAAACCAGTGCAGATCATGATGTCGTGGAGTGAAGTCCATTCCTCTAAGGGCACTGACCTACACTCTTGTCACTGTATTAAAAGGAAATCCTTGTTCATCACAAAGCATGAAATAATATGCTACTCGCTGACTTTCTAAGCTTTCTTAAAAACCTAACCTTGTAACGTACATTATAAATAAATGATATACTGAAAAGAAAGGCTAGGTGGAAAACAGACTGAATCAAGAAGGGATGTCCCATTACTAGGTGGAGGGAGTTTGTTTATGATTAGACTTGTCCACTTATAGGATAAATAGTAAGAATAATCAGCAAATCCTTTGCTTTAGTGTTGCCTGTCCATATACAATGTGTTCTCTTAAAAAATGAGATAAAATTTACTGTTAATAAAAAATCTGGAGCTTAAGAATCGTGTTAAAAGAATGAACATTTATAATTTACTTATTTCCATAGAAGTTATCACACCCATTCAATAGAACACCCCAAGAAAAAGGTGCGAAGATAATTTACGTGACTTTTGGCGCGAAATGATTGTGTCACCCCTTTCGAAGAAGGCAAACGGACTGATCCAGTAGTTTAGAAACGCAGAAAAAATGTTATACGGACATGTCCGTACAAAGAAACGCAAAGAATAAACATGTGCATGCAAAAAACTGAAGGGTTTAAACACATCATTATTTTGCATCAGGTATATGATTCTTTCTCCTGCAAACTGTATTTGTTTAAATGCAGGTAACAAATTCCAATGTAAATCAGCTTGCACAAAATCTAGTTCATTAAGAATGATCGCTTAGTTTCGGATCCCTGAAATATTAATCCTTATACTGCCTGATGCACGTGACGTCAGGCAATCATGGTGTTATACCTATAATATATGTATCACAATCGTATTGCATTTTTGAACTTCAGAGGAATTCTTTTTTTTTTTTTTTTGTGACCATGGCAACACCATTAACTGAAATAAAAAAGTGAAACAAAGAACTGAGTGTATCTTAGCGTACTCTACTTGTATTCCAAGTTTTATTTAAATCGGGCAAAACTGTAAGAGGAGAAGCAATTTGAAAAAATACAAGTAGATCAGACAGTGGAAAGTCCAGACTTACAAATGACGGACACTACCATTGCATAAGATCTTTCTATCACATAAAATCGAAAAGTAGAGCTTAAAACTAATTAATGCATCCTTTGTTTTGATAGCATCAGTCACTTCTCTTTAAAGGAAGTATTACTTCTCAATTTATTTGTATTTCTGGGAAGTTCTGTTTTCAGTTTTACTGGATTTTAATATTCAGGAAAAAACTGCTCGCCCGGAGACGTAAAACAAAGCATTAATTTACTGTGGCCTTATGAGGTGAGCTTGTTAGTCCAGTAGCGTTGTCCTATATAATTACTATAGATTTTAGCAAGAGTGAGTATCTGAGGGCCCTGAAATACAACATCGTTACTTTGGTGTATTATACTTTCATGTAAATTACTGGAATTTGATTCGTCGAGAAACATTTGTTAAAAAACACCGTTATCCTCTGAATGATGAAACTGCGCCTTCCAGATAGAATTTAACAACAATCAACATTGCTTGAGGACGGATGATATCACCCCCTCCCCCCCCCCCCCCCCCACACACACACACACAATCTATGTGCGAGCGCTTCATCTTTATTTGTATTTGTATAAAACATTCAGAATAATATAATATAGAA